ATCATGACCCTTTCACACACCGAGTACGAAACCTTTTCCAGGTGCATTCTATGTTTTAACTCAGATTATCCATTTATTGTGGATTAAACTTCACACCTTTAATTTTCTAATTAGGAAGGCCAATTGTACATGACTACTCAATAAAACAAGTCCATAAAATCCCATAAACTATGGTATTCTTCTGCTGATAGAATTCCAATCTGCTGAGAAAAATTTAGTGCATGTTTGGATACATCATAAATCAATTGAAAAGGTTAAAATCATAATTTTATAATAATATATCCAAGCAATAAAACAAAAGATTCTCCCATGTTTACATTGCATGAGCATTAATTTTACACTTAAATAATAAAAGTTGTCTCACGGTTTTTTATTTATTAAAATGAATAGGATTTGTAAGAACTGAAGGAAAAATTTCAATACAATTACCAAGTTGAGATTAGCAATTTATATTAAAAATAATTCCATCCGAGAAGAACACTACTTAAAATAAAATATCCATACGCATTTAGAGCCCATTTGTTTAAAAATTAAAAATAAATAATTTTTAATAATTTAAAGATTTATAAAAATAGATATTATTTTATATTTGATGACTACAATGAAAATGGTTATAATTTATGCCTCGTTTGATATAGGGAATTTATTTTAGTGAAAATGCAGTTAAAAGTGTAGTTGGTGTGCATATAGAAGTGTTAATTTATTTTAATCAATAATTATATTTATAATGTAAAATTATAAATATATCCTCACCCCCCAAAAACACAGCCCTAGCTCGTCGTGCTTGTTGATTGTTGTTGCCGGATGTCACAACTCACCATGCAAAAGGCAAAGTTGGCCAGAAATACAATGAAAGCTGAAAACATTATTATCAAATCGAAAAGCGAGAAGAGGTGAAATAGGCAGGGGAAAGTGTGCATTTTAACAAGTCCAACATCATCATCGGAGGAGCTTTTGAAGTTGAATATTGTAAACAATGCTCCAGAGCATTGGTCCAAACAGAAACAATCACTAATAATCTCTCTCTCTCTCTCTCTCTTCTCTCTCTCTCTCTCTCCCCACCTCTCGTTTCCGATCTAGTAATCTCTCCTCCACCTTAGGGATTTTGTTAGACATTACTTAGAACCAAAAGTCAAAAAAATAAAAATTGCGAGTAGAAATCAAAGGGAAATCAGCCAAAATCAAAAATAATCACCACTCTCTATCTTCGTCCTCTATCAATAACAAGGAGAGAAGTGATTGGGCCAAATTGCCAAACTTGAGGGTACGATAGAAGCGGAACTAGTTTCGGGTTGGGTAGGGAAGCAGTTGCATCATTTTTTATGAAAATGACTTCCACAAAGAAGCCAGCTCAAGCGCACCAAACATGTTAAATTTAAAATTTCACTTTCGCTTTCACTTCCTTGCTTTCATTTCACTCCTACCGAACGAACCATTAATTATTTTTGAATTTTATAATATTTTCCTTGATTTATTTTTTATAAACATAATTTATTATTTAGTTATTTTAAAATTTTATAATATCTTTATGTATTTCACATTTTAAAATATTATCTCTCTTATTTAATCAACAATGGACCAGAATGGAACATAATAATTGATAAGCTTGCCAAATTAACACAAGAATTTCATGCAACACTTAATGTTTAGGCTTAACACATCAGAAATACTGTTTTATATAACTAAGGTTAAGATATATTGGTGGGCTCTATGTGCACGAAACTAAATACCCCACCTTCCAGCAATCCCTTATCTCATTCAATCCATTTAACTATAGGAGTGCGATTCTCTTCTACCAATTCACACAAAGTGCTTATTCTATTTTCAACCTGTGCAACCAGCCCTGGCAGCTGCTAAACTATGCTCCATGCTAGCAATCTCTTGGTTAAGATCTTCTGCCTTTGCGCACAGTGTCTTCAACTCTGAAGTGGCATTGTCTATAGCTGACTGAGTCCCCAAGCCTCACTCACCTGCAAGCGCATCTCATCAATGAACCCAGCATCAAAGCCAAAAGTCTCAAGCTCTCCAAGCACAACTTCAATCTCGCTCATTTTCGGCGCGTCCAAGTGCTGGGAGATGTAGTTGAAAGTAGTTGAAGGAGATTGGATAAAGAGCAAAACATCCAACGGATAAAGGTCTTCCTTCTATCAGACCTAATGATCATTAGGTTGGGATATTTGTTGAAGGCTATCTCCATTAGTTTTGGTGGCTTTATCGTCTAGTTCACACAACACAGCCACACTTTTGCCACGTTTGTGGACACATTTGCAGAAGCTCTTGTAACAGCAGGGGAAGGTAAGATGAGCTGCAGGATCTCCCCAACATTGACGTAAGTGTCTTCCCTCTAAAGAGTCTCCAGATGTCAAGGCACGGGCAGGAAGTGATTGAATTCGTGAAAAAGAAAACTACCATTAGCCAGAGTCTCGTCATTCCGTGTTTCAGGGAGTCGAGATATCTGAGGGCTCACTTTCCCCTTGTAGATCTCCCTCAATTTGAGGTCTGGCATCTGCACAAACATAAGAAAAGTATATTGCTAGCAGAGGCAAAATTCAGCATGAATCTTAAAATAAGAGCATGAATAACCAACTAAAGCTGGCACGAGTGATAAGGACTCTCATTATTTAAGCAAGTAGTTGAGGATTTGAATCTCAATCCTTATGCATGTAGCAATTTAGTTAGTATAGGTCTACTGTTTGCCTTCTATACCTCGAGAGAGATAATCTCAACTGTTGGCAGAGTCTACTTCTTATGTTATATAATAATAATAATAATAATAATAATAATAATAAGAGCATGAATACCTCCAGTAGCGTAAGAGGAGTTGATATGAAAGTCAGGTTGAGCACAATCCAAGGGATCTTGTTCCAATTCATTAGCCCCTGAGGTGGCCCCTATTTCAGTCCCCTCCTGAACTGGAGCACCCAAGTCTGAAGTGAGAGAAAAATGCCTTAGCACAAGAATGAAATCATGGAAACAAGAATAGAGATGCCTCTTCTTCTCCACTTAAGAGAAAATACAGCCTAGACACGTTCAAATACACACATTCACACAGAGACAGAGAGAGTCACATGCAAGGAGCGATCTATGTTGGGCTTTTAAATGCCAAAAAAATAAAATTGTAGCGATCAAAATTCCTTGTGTTTAAAATTTCGTATTATTTCAAGTACCAGCATCCACACGTTGACATTTGGGGTTGCCCAGTTAATCCATGCTTTGCATATTAAGCCCTTTCTATGTGACTGTAATGGTTAATGTGCGGGTCTAGTTGGGCTCACTCAACTTACCTAAGCGCTTCCCTCTTCTCCTGACCAAAGCCTCACTAAGGCTTGGATCCCTAGCCTCATCTAAATTTCGAAGTTCATATTCACCATTCTCAGAACAAGTTAGCAGCTCCAAATCTTGAATTAATTCTCCTGAAGATGGCATTGGGGTGGGACATTCATGCTTCCCATTCCAGAGTCAATGGTCCCCTCATTTCTGTCTCGGAATGCATTGACATTATTGCTAGAAGGCTTGGAGTTCATCTCCTTCAGTGAATCCAATCTATCAACAATGCTCTGCACTCGACATACCTGAAGAAAGGTGGTAAAACTAACGTTCAGGCTTTTGAAGCCAATGAGTACAATCTCGATGCCATATGAAAGCCTCAAAGAGGAACCTACTACACTTTTATGAAGCGGTATTTGAAAGGTAATGCATTTTACCACAGAAAAAGAATATCAAATTCACATCTATTCACAAAATTCTAAGAAAAATGCATCCCCATATTCCACAAATACAGGATAAATAAATAAAATGATGATAAATTATCCAGAAAAGAACCTACAGGCTGTCCATGCATTTCAACACTCACCACATGTCGTGAAAACTTATAAAACTTATGACAAATTTGATATCTATTTACTGGCATCTATTAGGAAAAGAGGGGTGAGCAGATGGAGGCCAGAGGGAATACTTAATTGGATAGAAAGCAGTGGAACATGATTATATTGAAAGAAACATTAGAACTCCAACCTTATTATAGTATAGTACCTACAGTGGTTAGTCTGAAAGAAAAAGTGGATCTATTGTATTGAAAGAAGCCTTACCACCTTATTAAAACTTTGGTCAAAAAATGAATATAAGATTGAAAGAGTTAAGGAAGGCAGTATAAGGCAGTGACATTGCATTGACATCCATATCATTGCCCAATTTGAATCCTTAACTGAACTCAAGAGAGAAACAATTGATTCTCTGGACCATTTTAACTCGTCAGTGCGATACAGAATGATTAAACCTGCAAAGAACTTTAAAACCAAAACCGCAGTACCAGAAATGAAAAAAGCAAATCATGAATGATCAATTAGTTCATAAAGCTTCATCCCAAAAGAATAAAAAAATTTTCAGGACCATTGCATGAATTTTGTTACTGTATCAAACCTAAATAATAGTAATCTAATACTATCTAATACTGATATGATATAAATAGATCTGTCTTTTCTGTATGCCCTTCCTGCGAGTGGTTCTTGGTGAATAACTCAAAAGAGAATGCTGAGTCTTTGGTAAATGTGAAGATGTTTCCAAAGCTTAATATGAGAGAATTGCAGTAGACACTGAGCATTTCCAATGCAATAGCATTTTCATAAAAGTGAATCTTCATTAAGCATCTAAGCTAAACAATATATATAAATATATTCCTACAGCATTTGAATGGATAAAACATTGAAAAAAAATTCACAACACAGCAATAAGAAGCAAACAAAAACTAAAACAAGGAAAGAAAGGGGGACGTATAATTTTTAATTAATTTAAAAATCCTAATTCAAATGAATCTTACTAACTATATGAGTGAGAATAAATGTCTCTAAACTAACAAAGGTTGATCTAGTTGGTAAAGATTTGAACTATAACTCCCAAGACCATGGGATCAAATCTCACTACTAATGTGAGGACCTTGTTAGTGGGAAATCTATAAGCACTCTTTGAGCTTGGAGGCATGTTCTGCCTCTGGTGAGTCCTTGAAACCCACTCCCCTCAACTTTCTTTTATCAAAAAATAAATAAATGTCTCCAAGTTATTCCTCAACAACCACGTTAACAATTCTATCACAAAGAAAAAAAATGAAAGAACTTGGGTGAAGCATTCAAATCATCCCAAGAAAATAACAGGAAAGAAAAGAAAAGGAAAGGAAAGGAAAAGCAATGATTATCCATGATTAGAATTTTTAACAACTGTTATTTGCAATGAGACCAAAAAACAGTAAAAGAATATCAAAGAAAACACTTATGGAAGCTATTGAACAAGACTTACTAGTCAATAACATTCCTAAAAGCTTGGTTAATAATAAAGTACAATAGCCAACTCCACCTAATAGAATAAGGATTGTTGTTGTTTTGTGTTAGTTGCAACCGTATTTGCAGCATCATCAAAATTCATCTAAAAGACACTGAGAAGTATGTTGCATCATAGTGGAAATTACTTCATAGAATACATATCATATAATCACGTTCTGCTTTATTTTTTTCTCACCTAATCAGCATTCTGCTTTAATAATTGAAACACTAATATCAACAGATGTCATGAATCATGATTCATGACTTATGCTTTGTCAAAATAAGGATTGCATGAAAATGCCATGAACAACAAATAAAACATTACAACTTCATATTAGTCTAGACACCCATAAACACTACCTCAGCTTTTTCTCTGCAGCCTTGCTTCACCTTCAGCCTGAATAGAATCCAGTTTCAGCAATTGCCTCATAAGCAACTCAGACAAGGTAAGAAATTCATTCTCTGCAACATCAGTTCCCCATTTCACAGCTACCTCTATGGCAGCCATCTGCAAGTTTGAAATGAGACCAATTATCATTCTCTATCTGACATGTTTTTAGTTATTCTAACCTAATATGCTTCTTCAGCAAGCAGTCATATAGGAAGCAAGGGCTCACCCTCTCAGAGAGCTGATCCACCACCGTTCTAACTCCAGCAACAGCTTCAAGAGCTCCTGACATATCCAACACTTTCCTGGTTTCCTCAAGTTTCCTCCCTTTGCTAGCAGGGTCCTCAAAAAGAAATAACTCTGAATTGTCCTTAACACCTTCCAAGTGCAAATGCTCTCTATCCTGCTTTTCTTTTCCTCGGAAGATGAGTATTTGCTCTTTAGGCTCTAAACCCATATTGTGTGCAAGCAGTCTCTTAACATCCCCTGTTATTGAAGATCCATTAAGGTTAATATGCACTGAAAAGGACAATATTCAATATCTCAAGCTTCTTCTACCACATGTTCCTAGTTTTCTAGATAGATTCTAGATAAAGAAATCGTCAATATCATGTTGCAGGGTGAAACGTATGCTCTAGATAGGGGGAAATTTATGAAAATAAATCAGGCTAAATTGCTCAGCAACTACTTTATTCATGAACTTTCAAGCTTCGTTCTATGTATTTTGCATCTAATTCATCAATTTCAATTCTGTCAACTTTGTCCTAACATTTTCTCACAATATAAAATATTCTCCAACTCAATATACAAAATTAGCATTCTGAAACATATGTTATGGATTTTTTCACATTGACATATGTTAATATTCCTTTGGTCCTTATTATAGAGCGCCTCATAAAAGCATTTTTTGGTCCTTAATACAAGACACTTATAGCATATTAATTATGCTTTTTCAATATTACCCCCATTTGAACTCATTAATTATGAGAGAGAATATAATGCAAATTTGAAAATTATCATTTAAATGGAGATAAAATTGAAAGTTTATTCTATTTTCAAACAAAGTTAACGACTTATCCACCTCTCTTTAGTTTCGGTAAGGTAGTTAGAGGTGCCTTATAATAGGGATTGAAAGGAGTATTATATTAATTCCACTAACCAACATGTATATATGATGAGAAGATATGCATTCACCACATAACAACAAATCCAGTCCCAACTCCTGGAAGTTCCAACAACTTTCCTGATGAGCAAATCATAAGAGTCCAATTTTAGATGCGTTGCTACCTTGCATTAGGATTCGCCTAAACTAGAAACACAGAATAACCAAACTGTTGGTGAACTAATCAGATTCAGCTTTTCCCTGTTAACTTCGTGAATTTGGCTTATCACATCTGTGTAGTAAACGAGCTTGATCAACAGATTAAGCTTATTTAATTGAGTTTATGCTCCGGCTCATTAATTTCAAAACTTGGTAAGTAAAGTCTAATTTTTTTCCATATTTTCAGTATTTATATATAGATTTTAGTAAGGATCATAAAAAAAAACATGACAGTTTACGCAACTAGGTTGTATGTATGCAGTACAAATTTATAATTTTAGTTGTTTTAGCAGACATTTTTTGAAAAATTGTACATAAGTATAAATTACATTTATGATTATCAGTATATCTTTCGGGCTCAGCCCGTTGAAGAACTAAAAATGACGGCCATTTTTGGATTGATTAAGTCTGCGGAGCTCGAAATTTGCCTCAGTAGGTTTTTTTAGGCCAATCCCCTCACCTTTTTTTTTTTAATAAACAAGCTTGGTTATAACTAGCCAGGACTTGATTGGTCTACAGTCATAACATAATGACTTCAAATTCAGAAGCAACCCAAGGGGAACCGTAACTAGAGAGAAAAAAACGTACCGAAAGTAGATTCAGCAGGGAGAGAGACCTCGTATGGTGAGGAATTATGATAGATAGTGATCTTGATGATGCGCCCACTGGTACTCATATCGTAATGACTCTCGTCGTTCTGCAGCGTCGGCGAGGCGACGATTGGAATCAATTGAAGCTATAAAACATAAAACTTGGGGTTCCTCAAAGCTTCAACAGCGATCAAGCAAGGTAGTAGATTGAGTTTTCGAGGTTGTCATATCGCACTGCAATTTCGTTTAGTATTATATAGACACGCACGCAAAGAGGAACAAAAGCTGATTTATCTTTTTACTTAAATGAGAAAAAGTTTAATATTACTTACTTTTAACTCTAAATTCAACATTCAATTATAAAATTCGTTATTAGAATCATCAGACCAAACAATTTAAAATGCAAAATAAATTAAACCACCACAAGTATGGCAATGTGCAAATAATGGATTTAAGTTTAGATGTTGTAGATTTTATATATTATTTTTGTTATTTGTATTCCCTCATATACATAGTGCAAACAAACAGGACAAAAGCAACCGAAGACTTAGAGGACAAGTAGGCTTGAGAAAGAACATCGAAGCTACAAAGTGTATGGTGTGGTTAGAATTGGTAAGCGGGCGGACCTGGCGCTTATGGGCCTAGACTCTAAAATTCGATTACTCTAATTTTACTTTAAAATTGAAGCCCGACCCTTATTCATAGGGCTCAAGGCCGGGCCCGTAAGCCCGGATAAGAATAAAATAAAATAAAATAAAATTTAACATTAAAATTTATTTAGAATATTTTAAAATTTAACATATATCAAACCAAAGTCTCACATAATCTAAAAAATGAACAAAAAATTTAAAAGTCCAAATAAGATGAAGGCAAACATCATCATCAATCCTAATCAAGATCTTCCTCATTATCATCCATAAATAAAATATTAAAACCCTCAGATGTAGGTCTACTTGTGAAAGATGGAGGCGGAGGCTCAATATTAATTATTTCTGCAGCTTCTTCATCATCACCTACAATAATTATTAATTAAATTATTTTATTATCAAATATATATCTATACATATATCACAAGATAAAATATAAAAATTACTATAAAATGGCACAAAATAATTCAACCAATTGCTGGTACAAAATATAAATCAATGTTTGCACATTATCTAGAAAGAAGTGAAAACAATACTTTGTGAATAGTAAAACGGGCTTCACGGGCCGCCCAAGCCCGAGCCCGAGCCCGTTTTTCTAGGACTTAAAAGGGCCGGGCTTCGAAACCCGATTACCCTAAAAAATGCTAAATTTTTAAACCCGAACCCTTATTAAAACGGCTTTAAAACGGGCGGCCCTTCAAGCTCGGCCCTTATTCCCTACTCTAGGTGTGGTTGCATCATGGTTGCACAAAAAAAAAAATATATATATATATTTCTATCTTTTCAAAAATATAAAATATTTTAAATTAAATCTCACCTCTCAATAAATTAATTATTTATTTTTTAATTAATCCTATCTTTAATATTTACTCCTATTGAACACTCTACAATGAATATAAAGTCATTATTAATAGGGGTACTTTAAAAAAAAGATAATGATTACATATCAAAAGATTAAAAATGCCTTATATTTTTAAATATTCAACTCTTTAAAAAAATCTTATATTTTTTAATGAAAGGAGTATATATGTATAGTATATTCTATACATTGCTAAATACTAATTACTTCCTTCAAACTTTAAATATATATATATATATATATATATTAACAGAAAAGAGGCCCTTTCTACTACCACCATATATTTTAGAAAGTCTGTTTGATCTCATTTATAAATCAAAGTGTGCCTTTTTAAGTAATATTTTTAAAATTACTTTTTATGAAAAAGAAAAAATAATATGACATCATATTTTGTATTTGTTATGTAAGGATATATTTGAAATTCTATACTTTTTATTCCTTATATTTTTTTACATTGATAGTGATGAAGTTAATATAAATGACTTATAAAAAAAACTAAAAAGTACTAGTCATACTCTACTCTTCATTCCAATGAACTCAATCACAAACCACAAACTTGCCTTCATCCCCTAAATCATCCGGCAACACAATAGATAAAGAAGTTGGTGTTGAATAACTATGTATAAGTAAATATAAAAATATGATTTTATGATTTTTGATTTAGTGCATTTTGCAATGTGCATGTTTTAACATTCAAACTAATTTGACAATGTTTACTTGGTTATTAATGATGTTAAAAGAAAAATTTAGTTTTTGTGTGCGCGCATGCGCGCACGTTTACTTATTGATCCTATTTATAAGTTACATTATTAAATTTTTATTATAAATTTTTTTACCCTCTATTAAATATTAAAAAAAATATGTTATTAAAGTATTTATATTTAATAGGGCAAAGTTAAAAATTATAAAATTTTAAGACAGAATTAATAAATTTTAATTTTTTTAATATTAATAAAATAGATTAAAAATAATTTATAAATAAAATTAAAAAAAAAAAGGGTAACTCTAAAGAGTCATTTCCTATTGAAAGGAGATTGATTGACTGAGAGGCAATGATGGTGGGGCTCAGACGTAGAAAGGGTCTTGGCAGCAATGATACCTCTTCAAATGTTTCTGCAAATTCACAATAATATTTCAATTTTTAAACTTGGGCCGCAAGCCTTTGGGCCGCAAGCCTTGTTTGTTTATTTTTTATTTTTTGGGTGAGATTTCAGTCCAGAATCTTCGACTACACATGCTGTTCAGAGATGTTACCAGAATCTGAGTACAGAGTCATAGTTGGGGAAAAAGTTAATTATCGCGTGGGAGATTCCAGTGATGCCTTCGTTTTAGTGGGTTTGGGGTGCGTAAGGGAACACCTTTCCCAGTTCAATAATGATGTGCAACTATTTGCCAAAACTAGATTTATTCCTCTGGGATATTTTAAAATTTAAAAGTTAAAAAAAAATATATAAATTAAAAATTAAAGTATATTTTTGAAATTTTAATTTAATATAAAATTTTAGTTTGGTTCTTTAATCTTATAGAATATTTTTTCATTCCTTTAACATAATACCGTTAGTTAGAAATAATTATTTTTCATATTAACTATTTTTATTTTAAAAAATTAAACTTAATTTGTCAACCTTTGAAATTATTTTTTTAAAATTTAAAAGTTCAATGTTGAAATTTTTTATCAATAAAATTAATAGTGTTAAAGTTAAAGGATTAAAAATAAATTTTATAAAATTATAGAATTAAAATAAAACCTTATATAAAATTACGTAACTAAATGTATACTTTAATTAATTAAAAAATAATTTATTTTTGTGTACTGAAAGTATCATATTCTGTTAATTTATAGAAATAAAAATTAAACAATAATTTGTTTAATATAAAAAATTGTTTTTCCTATACATATTAAAGATAAAAATAATTACCTATTTTATCTTAAAATGTCTTATCCTCGGAATACATTTGCCATTTTTCTTTGATAATATGTGGGAAAATTTTGAAATCAAGTTAAAAAAATATACTTCATACTAAGTTCTCCCCCTATAATTAATCAAAGAAAAAAATTCCTAAATCCATTATTAGTTGTCCTTGTGTGAATAAAAATCTAAGCAACAATTTTTATTTTGGAATATGCTACCATTATTATAAGGGTAATTTTTTAATATACATTAAAGCATTTTGTATATTAAAAAATCTAAATTGTATGTTTTTTTTAATTTTTCACCTCTTGCAAATTAAACTATAATTAATTTATTTTCTTTAAGAATTTTTGCTCTATATATCATTCTAAGAAAATAAAATATATATTAACCATAGATTATTGTTTACTCCTTAGTCAAGAAAAGCCTTACGAGGTCAATTGAGTTAACGCGTCTCATCAGAAAAGTTGGGTCACAGATGCTCACTTTTGACTGAAGCTCATCAAAAAATGGTGCTTGTAAAGAAGAGAAGAAAAAAGCACAGACGTATCACAGAAAAGTGTGAAGAAGTTTTGAAATTTAAAATAAAATTATTTAAAAAGATCTATTAATTAATATATTGTCATTTATCTAATTTTATATTATTTTTTAATTTTAAAGCTACAAAATAAAGTATTAAAATTTTATTTTAACAAATAATATTACTCATTCATTTAAACTATTTTGTAATATGATTGATCTAGATAAGATTTAAAAAAATTTAATTTTAAAAAACTTCATTCAATAATAGTAATTATTTTTGATATTATCAATAATATTACATAAACAATATATGTAATTGAAAAGACCAAAGACCATTGGATCCAGTGGTGCCAAGTTGTCCATATGTGGCACTAGGTTCCAAGTTTGATCCCGCGCCTCTTCAAGCATTACGCCTACTTTTAAAATGATGTGTGCGTGTGTGAAATTGAAAAAGAGTCTAATATTCTAATATAGTACTATAAATGTTACCTTTCTAACTAAAGAATGATTTATCGATATTGAGAATGAGAGTGGTAGGTGCAGTGAAATGTGAGACAATAAGTTTTTAATAAGATGTAATTAATGTACAAAAGGATCGAGGGTCAAAAATGTTTTTGAAATACACACAAAAGATCATATATTATTTAAATTTAATTATAAGTTATTTATATCTCTCAATTTTAAAAAATTGTTGCTTCATTACTCAAACATTAACTAACCTAACAGCTCTATTAGGTGAGTCTCACATATAAATTTTCTTAATATTTTTATTATAAAATATTGCTTGTAAATTCTACATTATTTTTTTTAATTTTCCTTCTCTCTCTGCAACTCAATACTTTCTATCTGTCCCCTTCCTCTCTTTCCTCCCTCTCTCCGACCATCGAAGTTTGCGTCTCCGACAATGAAAGATGGAAGAAACCTGCCGGTCTTCATGATCCCAATGAAGAATGAGTGACATCACACTAGCATCTTCGGGTCAAACAATGATCGAAATTGAGAGAAAGATCGAGATTGCACTCTAAGGCAAAGTCGAGCTCATCCTCGATACTGAGTTCGTAGGAGCTAAGCCCAGCCTGCCCAACAATCGACGATGACATGTACACACACACACACACATCCTTGTGCATTTTGACTATCTAGCTAGGAAGTATCTCTTTGATTTAACAATGATATGCAATGTTGAATAAACTAGTGACGAATAAGAACAGGAGACTAAACTTCATGTGGAAGAGTTTTGACGTTGATGAAAGTGAAGATCATGTTTACACCTACATTACTATTAACCTCTTTTTCAATAGCCTTGAAAGATGAAAAGCTATAAACATGGGAATGAGCTCCAACAGATTCATCATCCTTTCTCCTCACACACTCAGCGATCAGGGCAAGAGGTTATGTTGGAGATCCATTTTTAACCTCTTCTTCCTTTTTAATCTCTGTTCTTTTAATAAAAAATAGAGGTGAAGTGACCAAGAGAAAGGAGAAGAAGAGATGGTCGATGCTTGCATGGAGACACATGTTCCTCCTTCTCCTTCCTGTCAATGCTTGCATGATAAAGACACGATAGTTGCATGCGTTACACACACACACACACACACACACACACACAATATTTGTGTGTGAGAGAGAGGACGTCAGCATCCAAGATTGAAGGGAGAGAGAACACAACAAAGTTGATAAGTTTGGGCGCTCTAGCGTTTATGTCTGCGTGGTTCTTCTTTTCAATATGGATGAGTCATCTCACAACTTCGTGTTCTAGGTTGGCAACATCTACTTCCACAAGTCTAAGAAGCTTCTCCGAAACCTCATATCTACCAACTTAATCTTCTTCTACATTATGCATATCTTTATACATACATGCATGCATGCATGTGTGTGTGTGTATATATATATATGTTTGGCGACAAAGTGGATGGGAAGTTGTCGAACTACAAAAAATGGGAATCCATGAGAATCAATTGTGGAACAGATTAGGCAGTAGAGAGAGGGGGGAGAGGAGAGAGAAGGAGAAATTAAAAAAAATAAATTATAGGGCCCCCAAACAACATTTTATAATAAAAAATATTAAAAAAATTTAAATGTGAGACTCACATGACAGAGGTGTTTGGTAAGTTAATGTTAAAGTAATGAAATAATAATTTTTTAAAATCAAAAAATGTAAATAAATCATAATTAAGTTTAAGTTTATTCGTAACCTTTCAAGTGTACTTTAGTAACTTTTTGATCGAAAATCCTTATAAAAAATAATAACTGATTATATAGGATATATGCAAGCAATAAATTCTTTATGAAAATATGTAATTAATAATAATATTTAATGAGTAAAATAATAACCGTTTATGTAAGATAAAAGTGAATATCTTGGAGGCCTAACGCAACAGCGTTATTTGCCTAGTAATAAGGCCTTACGAGCAAGACATGGAAGGCTTCACTCGTTAATATGTTACAGTGCACCAAGTGTGGGACAAATCACAGCTGCCTCGTAGTTTGTTCGTAAAAGAATAAGACTGGTCTTAGCTTTAATCTCAAGTTACTATGCTGAGAAAGATGCATGGGATTCGATCATTTGAGGATGGTTAAAAGAAATGAAGGTTATTGAGAGTGGTCAAAGAATGGGCCTGGAAACAAACAAAAGAGAAAAGTGGTGACAAGGAACGAAGGAGGAAGCGTCCGGAGTCCAAATCGGAAAACGCGGTGCCTTTTGTACCAACAATCTTTGGATGGTGGGTCCCCTTTCTTTGTTACGTGTCTCCTCATTACAAGTCCTCCCACTTCATCTTTGCTTCCATGCATCACGTTATATGTCACCACTAGCTAGGATTACTAATTCACTGTTCATTCTATTATAATATTTAATATTTAAAATGAGGCACTTTCGGGCCGGGAGATATATATATATATATATATTTAAATTAAATCACTCATGAGATATTTTGGCCAAATGGCCACGTTCTCTGATTAAAGGTCATTCTCAAAAGCAGTTTCTGATCTCCTATCGCTTGACTTTCCTCACAGTGTATTAGAATGGCCAACGGTGAAGGCATTTTGTGCAACCACTGCATCTTTAATTTCATCAAGTTCTTGTGTTCCATGCCGTGGGCCACCGATTATCATTGTCTATTTTCAAGTGTATATACACAATCCAGTTATGAGTGAGGGTTATCACACAGAGAGAGAGAGAGAGAGAGAGGCCTTTGCTTTGAGACTAAAATGGAGAGAGAAAGTGATTAATTATATCATGTTAATTAAAATAAAAAAAAATAACTTTAAATCTCTATATTATATTAAAGTTTTATTATAAATCTTTATATATTTTTTTTTGCGTTGTAGGTCCTTTCATAAATGATGTTGTAAAGATTTAAAATATTAATAAAAAAATAAAAAAGTAAGACTCAAAATATTAAAAAAATATAAAAATTTATAATAAAATTTTAATAAAATGTAAGAATTTAAAATTATTATTATTATTATTTTAAGATGAGCTTCCTTCAAAAAGATGCTGGCTTTTTGGCCCAAAAAAACACGATAAGGGCTTGAGGAGAAAAAGGTTTGTTCCAGGACACCAAGCAAGCAAGGAGTTTAACCCATTGTTCTTGGTCACGATTTGTGCACAGTGGTGGTTGCTTGGGTGTGTGCCTGTGTTTAGGTTAAGGATAAAATGGTACTTTACTATTTTATTATAAATATCAAATGGAGATTTATATTAGCATTCCATTGACATACCAAATAAGCTTTTGAATCCGTATCCAATTCTCACTCCCACTCTCATCCATTATTGAACATGAAATGTAGCCACATGAGTCCCATTATTTGGTATTAGGGGAAAAAAACAAGACGACGACCCAGTAACACGCATAGGGAGAATGACAAATGTGTGACCCTAAGAAAAAAAATATATATCAAAATCACAATTAAAATTTCAAGAATTTACGAGGACACTTTACAATTGAAGTTTCAAGAATTTTACTCAAAAGTCTTTAGTTTAGTTTAATTTCCTTATAGGTACTTTGTTATTTCCCAACTTCTATTTTGCTAACAAATTAAATTATACAAAACTTCCTTAAATTCCAAATTAAATAAAATAATTTTATTAAATTTTAAAATTTTTCAAGAATCTTACAAGGGAAATTTTAATTATATACAAATAAACTTTAATTACTATTGATTATTTCTCTATTTTAATAGCTATGGAACATGTAACCAGAGACCTCCTTTAAACTCCCCCCCTTCTGAATAACCCCTCAAATTTTAATACAAATATATATTTTTTTCCTAAATTTGAAATCATAAAATGAACCCTAGATCACATTACACTCTTTTAAAGTACACGAGTAAAAAAAAAATTAGCACTACAAAATATTTGCATAAATATAAAACTGCAAGAGCGTCAATTGTTTAATTTAAAATTTCAAGAAATTATATACACCCAATCTAAAATTTACGAAATTTATTTTAACCCACAAATAATTATTTTACCTCTATTTTATGAAGTCTAAAACCAATAATATTAAGTAATTCACAATTTTTTCATCCTTTCGATTGAGTAGAAAAATTATCCCATTCATATCCCAATTCCACGCATTTAAGTTACAATTTGGTTTCACTGGCTCGCTCGTGTCTCATGGTTTCATGCTTTAGCTAAAACATTTGGGCATGAGCTCGAGCTGGTAGGGCCCTTTGAGATTGTCATTCTTCCCAGGAAATTACAATTTGGTTTCCTCTCTATATTTGTCTTTGATGTTTCGGTGATTAAAAGAAGTAAACCACCTTACTTACTAAAATTATTTATCTTTTACTTTTAAAAAGATTAATCCAATGTTAAAAACTCATAATCCATAAGATTATATTAGTGAGCAATCTATAAATATATATTTTTAGGCATTTGAAATATTTATAGGCATTTGAAACGTACCTTAGAGTTAGTGAATTCTCATAACCCAACTTGCTTAAACTTTTTCTTTCATATAAAAAAATTGTTTCTCCCTTTTTTTGGGTAAATATTCTCCCTTTCACGTAAATACTTTCCTAACATGGTTAATTTAATTAATTTACTGAATTAATTATTCATCAATCATGCACTCCTGCATAGCAATACTTTCCAACATCAATACTAAAATACTTAAGAAAACACAATCATTGATTTTTCATCAGTTTTTTTTTAATTTTTCAATATTTTCAGTTCCTATATATATATATATATATATGTTTAGAAAGACTGTGCATCCTTTGTTTTTCAAATTAATTGTTATAAAAATTATAGGACAGGAACTAAAAACAAAATATGATAAAATTAAAGATTATGTTTTCCCTGAATACTTTAACTCATTATATAAGAAAGAAGAAATTAACTTGGAAACGGAGAAGATTAAGATCTAATAATTAATTTGTTAGACTGATATCATATTTCAAAATCAGTACAAAAACTCTAATTAAAGACTCTGCATTCAACACAATATTATTTCAATTTTTACAATCCGAGGTCAGAATTTAGCCACAAACACCGCTTCCCCCAGCACGTGCCCTTCTATAGCCTCCAAAAGCTTGTCCTTCGTTACCTATTACATATATTCAGTCCCACAACCATATCAGAAAAATCAAATCTCACAACTTTGTTCTTACACACAGGATCATGCATGCAGGAACAAATCACAAAAGGATTTTGATCAAGAACAAGCAAGCTCCTGTACTTTAATTACCTATATAGATCCATAATTTCGTGCATGTACATAAACATATATCGATAAGATACTAGATATATATATACACACACACACACACGGACACAAGCGGGTAATAATAATAATACCTTGTTACCGAGATGAAGCCCATCGTCCAAAGCGTAAAGCCTGAACTCGAACCTATGTCCATGATTAGGCAACCTGGGGCCACGCCACCCAGGGATCTTCCAGTCATTATTGCCTTCTTTGATGCCAGCATACTCACCACCGAGCTCCTCCTCCTTGCCGGAGAATCCCTCCGGCAGACCCGTCACTGTCGGCGGGATATTCACCACCACCCAGTGCACCCAGGGAACGATGGGCCCCTCGGGATCCGGAGCATCCACGTCCTCCACAACGAGAGCAAGGGTTTTGGTGCCCTGCGGGAGGTTGTACCACTCCAAGGGTGGGGACACGTTCTTCTTGGCGCCTTGTCCTTCGTCCGTGTAATGCCTCGGGATCCTGCCTTCGTTGTTTATCGTCGGAGAAACCAGCCTGAACTCCTCGCTTCCGTCGCTAGCCATTGGATCGTCGATCGGATTAATTCTCGATGGATTGTTCGTTGATTGGGACCGACCCGAATTAATGTTAATAAGTATGAGCAGAATTTTCGGGAGCGTGGGCGACACTTGGTGGCGAGGGAAGCCTCGTGGCGTCCAGAGAAGACGTGGTGGGACACGTGGAAGGTGGAGGAACGTTGTAGATGAAATTGAAGGATCGAGACGAGTGTCGCTGTGGCATCTGCTTTTTGCCCCTTCTTTTGTGGGGCCATTCGGAGCCCTGGGCTGCGAGCCTGCGACCCTGTGCCACGCATGTTTATCACTTTTTTTGAGAGGCTTTGGGGAAGCAAACTTTGGCAATAAATCATGGAATATGATTTAGTGGGTTGTGCTGGAATTTTTTAGCCCATTTCAAGGCAGAGTTTATTGGGCTCTCTCTACCTAACCAGCAACCCTTGCGTCTTTTTACAAAAAATGTTTAGATTTTTTTGTTTTTAATTTTACTTTTAATAAAAATATTAATTAAAATAAATTACTTGCTCATATTTGTAAGTTTTGAGGTTAATTTATTATATAATTTTTAAAACATACTCGGTTTAAAATACAAGACATTTTTAACTATAATTTGAATACCGATAAAATTTAGTTATATCTTAATTTTTAATTATAAATATTATAAATTTTTTTTAAACCATGTCCTCCACTGTCAATAATAAATTAAATGAGAGAGATAATTTTTTTTAATGAAGTGTTATAATATGAAAAAGCATAAACTTCCTTATAGACCAATACAATTTTAGCTGAAGAGTGAAAAAAATGTAATAAATACCAAAACAGTATCATAATAAACCAAGTTAATAAATATAAAGGTAAAATAAAAAAATTTAAACTTATTAAGTGTCTTATATTTTGAATCAAGGTGAGTTGAACAAAAATTTCTTATAATTTGGACGAGTGTGAGAATAATTTAAATTTAATTTATAAAAATTTGTCTGTTATTTAGACTAAAAAATAGAAAATAAATATAACCAAACTTATGACGAAAGAATTAAGAAAACGAAAAAGTGAAAAAAAGCTGAAGAGAATCACTTCGGTCTCTCTATCCTGTGAAGTGTGAATTCTATAGCAGCTCCTTTTCCCTAGCTACCCTGAGATTCGCTCTTATCTTCTTCAAATGCAATTTTTGGTGCCCAAGTGAGGGTATCAACGGGGCCTCAAACTGTTTGATGAAAGTCCTGAATGAGCATTGGCAGCATTTTACTAATTTGTCGATCACATGATACCACATAAGACACCGAAAACAAAGTAAAAGCGACTTCATTAATTGTTTATTCTCATTGTTGTTTTTCATTATTAAGTAGCTTCATTATACACATGGGTGGTGTGTGTACAACACAACACGGAGCGAAGGAACAAAACAGAAAAAGAAGAGCAAGCTTTCATAGTGAATGTGACTAAGAGGAATCGGTATCTGACTCTGAAGAACCAGTAGATGGTGAAGCTGATGTTGAGAGATGGCATGTACACGATGTGTCATGACTGGGCTTATTCATACTCATGCCAAGCTTGGAGCAGAAAACACAGTACTTCCCTCCAAAGTTTAGACAATCAAAATTACAATCTTCTTCATTGTGATGATTATTCTCCCTTGCCATGCCTGATTTATGTTCTTCAATATCATTCTCCACCTCATAAACCCTCGTGGGTGTAACCAAGTCAATCATAGTAAGAATCAATAGAAGAACTTTTTCGATGCTGTTGTTGCTCCAGCTCCTCCCTTCATCCCAAAACATCAAGAGAGCAACGACCAATCCTGATCCAACCCCAAAACCCACTCCTTTAAATACAAACTGCCAATCAAATTCAACCCCTGAATCCGCGGATGCAACACTTGTCCAACCATTTTTTGAACCTCTCTCATCCCTGCTACACTTGCTAACTAAAGGAGGTCCACATAATCCTTTATTATCAACGAAAGAAGATGCGTCGAATGATTGTAGTTGAGTGCCTATTGGGATTTTCCCTGCCAAGTGATTACAGGAGAGGTTCATAAATGAAAGGAAAGACAAACTTGCTAGCTGTGATGGAATCTTTCCGGTAAAAGAGTTGTTTGACAAGTCCAAGGATTCAAGATCTTTCAATTTCCCTATGGATGATGGGATGAGGCCTGAGAGATTATTATTTGAAAGGTTGAGCCCGTGGAGTGCTGTAAAATTCATCATCTCTTCTGGTATTGACCCTTCAATACGATTGGATGAAAAGTCAATAGACGTGAAGATAGTTAGAATTTTAATCAAGTTCATCTCCTGACCTTTCATGGTAATTATCTCTCGGTTCTGATAATTGATCACTTGACTAAATCTAAAGAAATTGAAGTGGATCGAAATTTCCTTTGACGCTATTTTATCTTCGTCAAGCATCATTGCCTTCCAAGTCGGAAAACATTCTCCTGGCAGCTTTCCATTAAAATTGTTGAGTGCTAGATCCACAATTTGAAGCATCGTCCAATTCATTCCCTTCATATTTGGACATCCAATAGGACCATGGAAATTGTTGTTTCGCAAAATCAGGACCCGGAGTGTAGGTATTATCTTCAACGAGCATGGAAATCGATCATCCATCTTGTTATTTCCAAGGTCTAACACCTCTAGTGTGGTGCACTTGGACAGAGAATTTGGAATTGGCCCTTGTAAATTATTACCACTAAGATCGAGAGTCTTAAGAGCACATGAAGCTTGAAAAGTATCAGGAATTTTGCCACTGAGATTGTTTTTTTCTAAATTCAATACACCAAGAGTCTCAATTTTTGCTAGACAATGTGGAATCGCCCCATTAAAGTTGTTGTAGGAAAGATCAAGCACTTGAAGATATGAAGCACTGCAGATGGAATCAGGGATTCTTTCATAGAGAGCATTGTGTGACAGAGAAAGAAAAATTGTGAAATTCAGATAGTTACCGATGTCAGGGGGGACAACATAGCTGAAATTATTACAAGAATAGTCCAAATAAGAGGCAGACTTTGGAAATGCTGGAAGTGTGCCTTGGAGGTTGTTCTCATGGAGGTCAAGCACAAACAAATTGTTAGGGCCAAGATTATGTGGGACTCTTTCTATCTCCTGAATTGAATTGTGAGAAAGATTTAATTGACCAAGATAGCCAAGCTCCCAAATCCACTTGGGTATTTTTCCTTTAATTTCATTGTTCGAGAGGTCTAGATTGGTTAATCTGGACATATTTCTGAAGAAACTTGGGAATTGTCTCAACTTGCAAGATGCCAACTTCACACTAGTCATGTTGGGAAAGAATAACCAGTTGGCATTCTTAACATTTGCGTCAATTGACAAGTTGTTGTTTGAAAGATCTAACGTAGTTAGATTTTGAAGTCTCTCAAACATATCCAGCCGCAGCATGCCATTGAACTTGTTGGAAGACAGTTGAAGGATCTTAAGCCCGCCTAGATGAAAAATAAATTGAGGAATAGGCCCACTTAAATAGTTACTACTTAAATCAAGTACTTGTAACTTAGAGGGAATCGTCCTGTAAATCGATGCTGACCTTGATATGGCAGCTAGCTGACCTTGAAAGTTGTTGTTGGAGAACTGTATATGTTGTAGCAATGGGAGCAAAAACAGAGACATAGGAATTATCCCATTGAGAGAATTGTCCCTTAAATTGATGCTGACTAGATTCAAGAGGCCTTCGAAATGAACTGATACAACTCCACCGTTTAATTCGTTATGAGATAGGTCTATGTGAGTAAGCTTCTTGGCCATGCCAAATGATGGGATTGCACCAATGAATTCGTTAAACGACAAGTCTAAGTAAGTGAGCTCAGGGAGATCCAACATTGAATCTGGTAGTTTTCCATTGAATTGGCATTGGAAAAGCTCTAGTCTGGTCAACTTCCGTAATTTGCTTATGTTAGGTGGCAATGCTCCGGAGAAATTTGTAATGCTTAAGATCAATATCTGGAGAGATCCGTTCTGTGGGAAGTGTAATGGCAGAGAACCTTGAAGACCATGATTATATGATAGATCAAGAGAAGTGAGTGACTGTACCTGGAAGATCTCATTTGGAAACCGACCACTCAAATCACAAGAACTGAGGTCCAGATTGGTTAGATTTGAGAATTTAGCAAAGAAGCTGGGCACTGGGGCTGACAAATTATTCTGATCCAGACGAATTATGGAGAGATTTTGAAGCTTTTTAAGTGAGGAATCGATGGGGCCTGACAGGTTGCAATTTGACATACTTAGTACCTGTACATGAGGTAGAAAAGATGATAAAGCATGACCCCATTCATTTCCCTTCAGCGATATATTAATGCCATCAAGATATAGTTCTCTAACTTCACTGAGGTTCTGAACAAGCTTCACCAGATTCGGATTCTCAAGTTTCGGAGCTGATCCTCCTAGATAATAAAGAGTAGACAGATCAAGAATGGTTAACCTTGTGAGGTGAGCAATCTCCATTGGTATCTGATCCACAAAGCCAGCATTTGACAAATTCAAAGAAGTTAAGTTCTTCAAATTTTTAATTCCAGATGGAATCACTGAACCGAAGTTATTGAAAGCCAAGTTCAAATTGTTCAGATAATGAAGACTAAAAAGAGTACTAGAATTGTTCAGTCCTCCAGATATAGATTCCCCACTCAAGTCTAAACCAGCAACATGTCCATCACCGTTCCAAGTTATGCCACTCCACTCATTGCAACGTTGACTTTCATTCCAGAACACCAATTTGCTGGAATCAAGAGGGTTGAATTTGAGGTTTTTCTTCAATTGAAGTAACAGAAGTTTCTGGTCGTCAAGACAATGGACAGAATGCCCAGAAACCATATAGACGTGGAAGCTAAGAAATACCCAATAATAACTGAAAATGAAGGAAAGCCATTTAAGTAATGATATTCTCATTGGATGAGTATACTGTGCTCAAGACTAATACAACTGAAGACTGAAGTAGCGAAGAAACTAGTGGTGGCTTCAGGGGGATCAAGACCATCAACATGAATTCACCGGCCTATGCCTTCAGGCTTTCAGCTTTTACCCTCCAAAAGTTGAGTTGGGTTTGGCTGGTAGAGATGCATTAAAGCACAGAAGAAAGACAAGACACGGAAGAAAAAGCAGATAGGCAGATTGGGGGGCTTAGCAATGACAGAATGAGAATGTCATATTCCATTCAAACGTGAGGCAGCCTCAGAGTAAACTCAAAAAGTCCAAGTCATTTGTTCGTGGGAGAATAAAGCTAATAAATTTCGCAGAAAACACATAAAATAATGGTAAGATTACTGACGGCGGCATTCTACTCGTTTCCGCGTTGGCATTTTTGGCAGCCTTTGACTGACTTCCTGCACTTAGAATATTCACAACCTCAACTCGATTCCCCAACGTTTTGGGGAAGTAATCATAGTCATGGAGTGACGTGAACGATTTGGGATCTGGAGGAGCGTATTCTATACGGCATATAATATTAAAAACAAAAAGATGAGAAATATTTTTTACTAAAATTAGATATTAGATAACTTCATATTTTGTCACTAGGTGCGTATAAAAAAAAAGGCATCCAAACACATAAATAATAAAATAAATAAACAAAAAAGAATGGATCTTTCTGACTTCTTTAAATAAAAAGAAATCATAATTTTTAAGAATTGTTAGCCACTGGCATTGGGTAACGACATAAAGGACATAAATGACTAATTTTCAACCAATGAAAAATGCAATTTTTATGAAAATTGTGGCGACATGGCGTTGTGGAAATCTCAACACTATCACAAAAATCTTCTAGACAAATACAACACTGGTCTGCATCAGTATTTTCTTGAAAAATGATTTTGTTGAGAGATTGAATGGCTTCTTCAGAGGCAGGAATCATTCCAATTTCTTGTCTGGACTCGGATGCGATCACTTCCATCATATTCACAATATCCATAGGGGAAAATTCAACAATAATATCAATAGCTAAAGGATATACAGCAAACCCATGTTCATGAGAGATTGAAGGACGAGGAAGATGATCAGGATTGTACAATTCTTTGACCCTAGTTATGATGTTGGGAATCAATGTATCGAGAACATCATGAGTGAGTAAATAGTGGGATAGATTCCTTTGTAGAAAACTCGAACCATTTAGTAAAAATTCGCTGCATGATATGTAATGAGAGGAAATTGGAGAGGGAATATCAAGCGTTTGTCCCTCACCAGAAGAGAGAAGACTTCGGAAACGAACGCAAAGTTTGACATTGAAATTTAGAGCTGTGGTTTTGTAATGTTGTATAGTTAAGTTTTGAAAGACATGGGGATGATGAGGTTGATAAGAAACATCATAATAGCATGCAGGCGACATGTTGAGAATACGAATTAATTGAGAAAATATACACCAATCTCCTTCTACACACACTTCACTATATGAAAGAGTTTAAAAGATAAAATACGTTTTCCAATCCTATCCAAGGAAAGATACGATATTTTTAAGATAATGAAATATAAATTTAAATAACATTAAGAGATTCTTTTCGATCACCATAAATATCATTAAGAGATTGACAAGTTAGATTATGATTAAGGAATTATCAAAAAAAATTAGAAGAACGTAAATATTATTATAGACTTTCTTTATTATTATTTTCAACACATTTTCTTTTTTCTTCTTGGTATATTGTTTTTCTGAACAAACTTAATTCTTTTGGAAAATGATTTATGTATATGTATATATATTTTTTAAATTTTAAAAATGTAAGTAAAATAGTTATTTAGATTAAAAATTTAAATTAAAGTAGAACATTTATAATATTTATTTAAATTTCTTAAAATAATAAGAAGATAAAAAATATTTCTAATTATTTTGAGAAGTTGGTTGAAATTACATTTGAAATTAATGTGGCTTTGGTGGGAGAAGAATGTTATGGTGAAGCACAAATATATCACATATGAAATTTCAAACTGACAAAATTATTTTGGGATAATGTAACTTCTGATTCTCAAATTTGCCTGAGATTTGATCCTTGAAATTTAATATTTACATAACAAATTTTTAAAATTTTATTATAACCTGATACAATCAATCCTTATGATTTGAAGCCAAAACACCACCCAAGTCGCGTATGATTAATATGAAAGTAAACTTGATTGATAATGATTAAATTCTAGGGATATTTTATTCCAAGTTTCATAATTTCATGCAAAAGACATTTAAATATTGGGCTATGCATTTTTGGCAAATACTCCATGAATAAAACCCCTCTTCGACTAGGATTTAGATTTTATAGGTACCCCGAATCTCATCCTTGTTCATATTATAACTAAGATTTCATTGATATGTGAAAACTTAAACATGACCAAAATTATAAACAAAAAATAGAGCTACGAGTTGGTGCCCTCTTGATATCTAGTGCCAACATATGTGGTAGTCATTCAATTGAAATCGATGATTTTTATAGTGTTCCACATACATGGTGAGAGGATTTGGAATACTCGCCAATCCAGATCCCTTGAGCTATGGTGATTTATTATTTCTTGTTATTGTATATATTTTTTACCAATATTAATTTCTTTTTATTCATTAACTCTATTATGACTTCTATAATTTAAGGAACTGAATTATTATTTCAAATTCTATCAACCATATTGAACGTAAATTATGAAAATAACAAATATTTCAATAAGTTGTGAGACACAAATAATTTTTCTCTGTGTGATATAATTTTTTTATACCAAAAAAAATTTGTGAAATTTTATTTAAAATAGAGTTGAATAGTTGTCTCCTGAATATTGACTATATAAAAATATGATAGAAAAATAACAAACATATGATACCTTTTCAAATTAAAACTTTAATTAATTCTTGTATTCCTTAAATAATTTATATTCAATTCAAAATATATTTAAAGGGATAAAAAATATTTTTACTAATATTAAATATAAGATAAATAATAAATAGGAAATTATAAATAGGAATTGGAACAAAAAGATAATAAAAACTATAAGAAATTCAGACATAAGGCCCTTTTTTTAAAATTAAAAAATAAATAACTTTTAAATAGTTTAGATATTTTATAAATTTAGATTTAATTGGTAAAAATTTTATAAAAAGTAGATGTTATTTCATATTTGGTTGCAATAATAAAAAATAATTATTAATTAGTTATTTTTAAATTTTATAATATTTCCTTTGATTTTTGTTTTATAAAAATAATTTATTGTTATATTATTTTAAAATTTTATGTTATATTCTCATATTTTATCTCTCTAAAATATTCTCTTTTATCTATTAAATTATTTTCAGAAGTTACTTAAAGTAACTTCTTAAACTATTTAAAAATATACTTTTTCACAAATTCTAATTAATTTTAAAAGTTTAAATAAATATTGTAAAAACTCATAACATCAATTTTTTTCAAAAAATAAGGGATTATTTCATGTAATGTACTAAACAATAAAGATAATCTCTAACTTCTTTAAATAAAAAGAATATTAAAGTATATTTTTAATCTTCTAATTTTATATAAAGTTTTAATTTAATCTTTTATTTTTGTAAGATATTTTTTTAGTTCTTTAACATAATATCATTAATTTTAAATAATTTTTTATGTTAATTATTATTATTTTAAAAAAAATTAAATTTAATATGTTAATATTTAAAAATATTTTACTAACATTTGAAAGTTCAATATAAAAATTTATTTAGATAAAATTAATGAGAATTAAAAAAATATTTTATAAAATTAAAGGATTAAAATTAAATGTTGTGTGAAGTTAAAAAATTAAATATATATTTTAATATAAAAAGAAATTGTAGTTTTTAAGAACATATATCTGTTTTGCCAGCAACATAAAGAACACATGTCACTTGTTACCGTTGGTCTTTGCCCCAAAAAAAAAAAAAGTTACCGTTATCAAGACAAAAACTCCCCAGGCCCAAATCCAGCACCAACGGTCACTAAACAGAGGGCCCTCCCCCTGCCACCTGCACGCTCCTCCCCCATGGCGTCTCAGATCTAACAGTGCCGCCCCGGTGCTTCTGCCCCACTTCCTTCGTCTGCGTCTTTTCCCCAGACCGCTTCGCTCCTTGTGAATACTCATTTCTCTTTCCAAATGCCGAGAATCGCTAACTCCTTCCCCGAGGAAGTCCTTGATGCTTGAGCACGCCTTCTCCTTCATTCACTCCGACCATCCAGGACTGCTTGTTCTGCAAGTCATGGTTCGAGATCGAACGTAACGTTGGTGCAAGGGGTGTATTTTTCGTGGGCAACTGCTATGCCGTCGGCCCTCTCATGGTGAACGGATGCTCAAGAAAAAACGGAAAAGCAATTGAAATGCAGGAGCAGGAGCACGGCCACTGGCAGACTCAAATGCACAAGTTTTTGACATCGTATCCTTGTTTCTACAAGCTAACCCATCTTCAATCCTGTTGGGATTAGAGAAAGAGCCATCAAACATGGCGCTCATCATGTCAGTTTCCCCGCTTTTTCTCCTGATCTCCATTGCTCAATAATAAAGTGCATATAAATTGGGTTACATCGCGCAAATCCGGTGCTGATGTGTTATACAGTTTGGTGGTGCCAATTCAAATCCTCGATCACCTGATAGGTCGGAGAGAAGCAAGAGGAGGATCATAAATATAATAATCTCCAGCAACCCAGTGACTAATATAGTATAGCTTTGGGTTGTTTCTCCTCCATGAAAATCTTGCTTTTGAACTTTTTGAGGGCTACTGACAAGCAGTGATGATCATGGATTCCAAACGAGAGGTAGGAATGCATTTCTTCCTTTCCTCACCATATTTGCGTGGGTGTGTGTATTTAACATGTAGAATATGGTGGCATGTAGGAGTATATGGTGGCATGTAGGAGTACATTAAGAATACGCAAAATATTGTTATATCTTTCTTAACCATCCTCTTATCTCTTGAAGAAGTAAGAAGTAAATGTTAGCTTCCCGCTCCAATACTAAATTTGAATATCGTGCATTAATAGACACGACTGTTAAAAACATTCTATAGATATCTATTATAATAGTCAAGTTGTAATGAAAATTGCTCATAATGATGTGTTTTATAAACAAACTAAACATATTAAAATTGATTGTCACTTTAATCAACAGCATGTTATTCAGGGCACCATTCGACTTGTTCTAATTTGAACCAAGTATCAACTAGCAAACTAGCTTATGAAGTTCTTTCATCTAAGCTGTTTTCATTTTTTGATAGACAAACTAAAATTGCTTTTTGTTAAGTCATTTTAAGTTTGAGGGGAAATGTTATCTAGAATATTCTTTAAATATCTTCTATCACTATTGTGTATGTATATATATATATCTATCTTAATCATTATTAGAATATATCATTTAATATCATTATATAATTATTAGTCATTATTGTATTGTTTATTTTCTTTAATGTATATAATGTACCCTTCATGTCAATAAGATATATGATATTTTTTAATTTTTTTTCTAATTTATCTCTCTTATCTTTGATAGTTTTCAAATATGAGCCCATAACTTTATTTTTATTATGTTTTATTTTTAAGTATTGAAATTTAAGCCATTCATTAAACTAATCAAGGCATTAGTTAAGGATTAATAGTCAAAACTATAGTCAAACTAGATCAAGGCGTTCGTTTTATTAAATCGATTAAGATACTAGTTTAATGATTCAATAAAGTAAATTGACTGTGATTTTATACTATGATTTTTTTCTTTTTGATAACATAAAGAGTAGATGAGTCCAAGAGACTGGTCTAGTAACTTGGCAGATTAAGTCCAATCAAGTCTTGGTCTCATGTTCTCTAAGATTGGACAAGTCTTAAAACTAAAAAATCTTGTTGATATTGATCTAGCCCTATCTATTGGTTAATTATTGGATTACTAATGCTAGAAATAACATGGATAAATAATTAAAAAAATATTATATTTGTTTTAAGCAAATCTTTATTAAATATTATATAGATTGAAAAATTATAATATTAATATTTTATAATATTTTATAATTTAAATATTAATACTATTTATAAATATTCATCCAAAAATTATAACCAACTTCTCTATGTTATTTAAATTTATATTTCATTATCTTAAATTTATATTTTAAATAGATTAGAGTTTCATACGGTGAGATATTTAAAAATATGTGTACAAGGTCATTGATATTTTTTCTCAATCAATCAATTCATATTTATACTTTCCCTAAGTTGAAAATTGATTTTACTCTATTTAATTTGCATCTTTTTATTTTTCTAAAGAAGAGAAACTTCATCAAAATGATGGAAATTGGCTTCAATAAAGCAAGGATATAAGCTAGATCATATTAGTTGGAGAACATATAAATTGAAATGGATTTTATTCATTTTTATATAAATTGAAAAATTCTCAATCCAACCCTCTTAGGTTGGTAAGTTTAATGAGTTAACCCACCAATCTCTTTATTTATTTATTTTCAACAATTTTTTTAAAAAAATTTACATCTAAATGAGAAGTTTTAATATGCTATTTCATTGCAATAAAAAAATTCACATCATAAATTTATATGAGATTGATCAATTTCATGATAATTCATTCCAAAATCTACTAATCTTGTGAGGTTTTAAGGTCAAAACTCCCTTAATTTTTTATTTTTCAACGTTATTTTATTTTTTAATAAATATGGGTTAAACATACCAATCCTAACACATCAGAATTAGCCCATTTGATGCATTGGCCAACCCATATAATCAATTATTCGAATTGATTCATGTAATTCAACTTATATTATCAACCCTACCCATCACCATTGAATAAATGTAGATTTTTTTGAAAAGCTGAATTTTAGGTGCAAATATGAAATATCGCTAGTTTCCTTTTGACTTCTTTCAAATCCAAAACCCAACATCTCTATGCAAACCAAACCTGTAAAAGACACCTTGGTGGTTAAATGATGTGATCTCCAATGCATAATATTAAAATATTTCATTGAATCGAGAGTCCCTGGCCCTATGATTGAAAGAAATTAAAAATCCAATAACATAAAAATTACAAGAAATAAACTCAAAATCTCTTAAGGTAAATAATTAAATAGCATTCCAGTAACGCAGCAATGGCTTTAAATTTATTGGGGGTTAGGAGGACGGCTATTAGCAGCACTAACCCTAGAGCCCCATTCAAGCAACTCTTTGCTAGTATCGTCCTTGTGCACTATTACCTCAATAAAGCACAAGCTATCCTTCTTGGGACCTGTTGCCGTGTTAATCGCTTCGATCAGCTCCTTTTCACAAAATACCTACAATATAATATGTAATTAATTAGTAGGCAGATATATAATTGGCAGTTTCCCATGTTGCCAATGGTGAATTTAGAGAACAGTATCGAATGTACTATGTTGGGAGATTCACCTTGGCGGTCCAGCATTTTCCTTCACCATTGCGAATGGCTTCAACAAACCCAGTGTAGTTCCAGTTCTTTATCACATTGTACGGTCCGTCATGGATTTCAACTTCAATTGTGTATCCGCCATTGTTTATCAGGAAGATTATGGCATTCTGCCCCTGTCTCAGCATTGTAGATACCTCTTGTGCAGTCATCTGCAAAAGCATTTTGAAACACCTTAATCAGTTCTGAGCAGTGACACTTCAAAAACTCAAGTTTTAAAGTAGAAATGGCTTTTCATGACAGCTTAAGGCCAACCTGAAAGCTTCCATCACCGATGCAAGCAATGACTCGTTTCTCAGGAACAGCTTGTGCATAGCCGAGAGTGGCACCAACAGACCATCCTATCGATCCATACTGCATTTGGAACTCATACCTGTTGATCATTTCGGAAGATTCTCATCATCATTATCATCATTCAAACTAATAAAAAGTTAAAAAAACAAAAAAAAAAAAGGTGTCCCATTTCAAATCTTACCCGCAGCCCTTTGGTAGTTTCAGCTTTTGGCAGTTAAACCATGAGTCCCCAGTTTCGGCAATAACAGCTGTTTCACCGGACAACATATTTTGAATATGTTCGAACAGAATATTCACCCTCAAAGGTTCTTTAGGTTCTCCCCTCAAAGGTTTCCCATCAGGAACAAATATCCTGTCATAGTTTTCATATGAAGCATGATTGTGTTTGATCCGCTTGGCAAGTTCCCTGAGGAAATCCTTCATCAGCACACACCCGAATGCAGGCCCGTTTCCTATGATAACCCGATCCGGCTGAAGAATGATAGCCTTGTCCTTCTTGAGAAGAAGCGAGTACCCAACAGAGCTGTAATCATTGAAAATGGGTCCAGCAAACAAGTATGCATCAGCAGATTCAACAATCTCAGCACAGAAAGCTGTGCTCACAGCACCCCAGTAAGTTCCAATGAAATGTGGGTGATGTTCAGGTACTAATCCCTTTGCTGCTGGCATTACAGCAAATGCATAGCCACAAGCATCGGCTAGTTCAACAAAGGCTTCACTTGCATTAGCCACTCTCAGTTTTGGCCCTCCTACTAGTACTGGTTTTACTGCTTTGTTAAGGAATCCTGCAGCTGCTTCCACTGCTGCCTCCAAGCCCATCTTATTACTCAATCTGTCGCAAACAAAAGGAAAAATTGCATGATGTGTAATGAATAAAACCAATTTTTTGTTTGTGTTGAACATGCTAGACCATTTTTTTTATGTGCATATCCCTGATAAGTAAGAACAAGAGACGAGGATAAAGAAGGGTAGAGAAATTACCTCGGGGACAGAGAAAATGGAACGGGCTCGCGACTGAAAGTGGGATGAGGAATCGCACTCAAGTTACAGCTTATGCTTATATATACAGGTTTGCTTTCTTTCAAAGAAGTTGAGATCGCCGTATCAATCTGCTCGTGAGCATCTTCCAAGTGATTGACCACGGCCTACATCATCATCAAGCATCAGAATTGTTTAGCAGAACATACGAATACCACAAAATAAACAGAGAAATCACCAGAATAGAGGAAAGTTGGCAGCAAATTACACAAACACAGCAACAAGTCCCCAATCAGTTTCACCTGGGGAATCATTATAAGCATCAAGCTTCCCAAGAATCGAAAGCTTGGATTCTTCAAAATCAGAACCATATCGTGTATAATAATACTTAAGGCCGCAATTTACATAAAAAAAAAAAAACCCCCTTCTTACGAAGTCACTCGATGCAGAAAAAAGAGGTTGATTTGTACCTGGTAGCACGTAAGATTCTGGAAACACCTAAGTTCCTGGCTGAAATCGGGTAACCCAATAGTGTGGTGAAGGATCCGATTGGTCCCATGATCATTGGAGTTGGGACCACCAACGATGCAAATAAGCGGCAGGTTCTCACTGTAAGCACCGGCAATGGCGTTGAGAACACTAAGGCCACCAACGGTGAAAGTAACGACGCAAGCACCAACGCCACGGGAGCGAGCATAGCCATCGGCGGCATAACCAGCGTTGAGCTCGTTGCAGCATCCAATGACGTTAAGCTCTGGCTCGGCGATCAGATGGTCGAGGAGTGTGAGGTTGAAGTCACCGGGAACGGAGAAGACATCAGTGACACCAACCTGCACGAGCCGACGAGCCAGGTGGCGACCCAGTGTGGCCTCACAGGGGGTGATCGGAAGAGCAGAGTCCTGGATGACAGAAACGTTGCCGTTTGGCAGGCAGCCGACATCGTTGCAGGCTGGCTTGCATGCATCAAGAGATCCAATCTTGGTGTCCATGGTTGTCGTATGGAAGGCTTTTGGGCTCAAGACACTGAGGTAGGTTGTGAACGATAGAAATGATAAATGAAAATGACTACGAAGACTCAAGAAATTGTGCGCGCCCGTGTGGTTGTGATGAAGAAGGAGAGATGAAGAGAGATTTATAAGGGAATGTGAAGGTGACGGACGAAGGAAGTGTGAAAAGTGTAAGAACTCTCAAGAACACAAATACAAGGTGCGGTGTTGGGTTTTGTTGTTGGAATTGAAGTTCAGCTTTTTGGCGGCAGGTCATGCTTAGGCCTGTCTTCTCTGCTTCGCTTCCATTGGGCAAAAGATGAAGGAAAAAATTATTAAAATAAATATACAAATTATGTTTTTTTAATTCCATTTATTTTGTAATGATGCTAATAGGGGAAATGAACTTTTTATTTCTTATTTTTCTAATGTTTATTATGATTTTATAATTATTTATGATTTTTTTTAAAGTAGTGGTGAAACTATGACTTTATAAGTTACTATTTTCGATTTCTTCTATATTATATTAAGAAGTATTTTTACTTTTCCTTTCAGTTAACATAATATTATCTTATATATGACAAAATATAAAAATTTTACTGTTCATGAAACAGTGAAATTAACATAGCCGTGAGACTTGCAGTTGCCTAAAAAAAAAATCAAAGCGTGTTAGACCATGACTGCTTACGGTTAAAAAATATTTTTATAATATTATGTTAACATATTTTATATTTATATTATTTTCAAATTATCTTTTAATTTTTTTTTGCAGGTAATAACCTTATGAATAAAATAAAGTGTTTATATTTTTAGAATGTATAAAAGTAAAAAATATTGTAAAAAATAATAAGTTTTTTAATTATTTACAGATATTTTTTCATTAGAGGTAATCGTATTTCAAATAAGGTTGGGTATTAAATGTGGGTAATTTTCTAACAAGAATTTGAATATTAGTTTGCCATATTATTAAAAGATTAACTCATTCAACTAGATTTAATTTCTTTTTTAAAACAATAACAAGTTATTGTTAAAATAACTTATCAAACATTTGTCGGTGGGCTTTTTTTCAAGATGTAATATTTTTTTTCATATTTTTTATGTTCATAATATTTTTCACTTTGTTTAAAAAAATTAAGTATACCTATTGGTAATATTAACATTTAATAAAATTTTCAAATTATATTTTTATAATATTATCTTAACATTTTTTTATGAGATACAATCTATTATTTTGTTTCAACTATTATAATCATATTTTATGCAAATTAATAGTGGTGAAATTTGCTAAAAAATACAACAATTGTAATGTATTGTGGCCTATTAAAAGTAGACAACGTATTGAATATAATATGATGTTCACATTTTATTAAATCAAAACTTCACACAATGGTGTGTATTTACATGAAGTAATATCTAGAGACAAATATAAAAAAGAAATAATTAAGTACCTTTTTTAGTTATTGTATGACAAAGAATCCAATGTCAGAAGTCTAACAATTTTTTGGCTTTTGATTTTTGGTTGCTTTCTAGAAATCTCAAATAATTGAGTTTATAGAAGGGAACACCAAACTTGAAAGAAAGAAAGAAAATACAGTCGTAGAATTGACTCGAAATCGTAGTTACATGTACAATTCTTTGAATAGGAAATTAAGTTACTTTGTATTCAGTGAAATTATAATTAATATTTTATTTGTATTCAAAAGTATAGACATTAACTTTTAATTGTATTAATTTATTTTTTGTACTTTTAAATGAGTTCTGTCCTTCATGATTCCTGACTCTGTTTATTATTATTATTATTATTATTATTATTATTATTATTATTATTATTATTGCGAAAGTGTGATTCTGCAATTTGCAAGTAGTTTTGAGTTTTTTTCCTTCAGTACTCTGATGGAGAATTTTACTTCTCTTAAACTAAAACTTAATTTTTACTCATTATTTCTTAATTATTATTAAATTGATCTTTTCCGATTAAAGTGTCAGTTATCCTATTTTCAATTTTAAATTTGAATTTTATCGTACGTGCATATCGCATGAAGGTGGCTCCAGCTGCATGCAAATGTTGATTCCAAATAAATGAATATGCATGAAAGAAAATTACATATAAAGACTTAAATCTTAAAAAATAATTCAATATCTAGAGTTTTTTTTTTTTTGGCCAACAATATCTAGAGTTTAAGGGTTTGTTTGGTTTTAGTTTCTTTTTTTTATTTTTAAAAATTGTTTTGTAATACAGTTTTTAAATTTGTCTTTCAAAATAAAACAAAATGAAAATTCCTTTGGTTATATTAATTTAAAAACAGTTTCAAAATTAAAAAATATAATAATAATGATAGCTATAGGCAATTAATAATGGTGATTTATGATAGAAATTAATCAAAACAACTATAATTTTTAATAAATGTAATGTATTTTTAAGTTTTTGATCACTGTATTCAAAGAGGACTTTAAGTGTTATGAATAACAAAATCATGTTAAGAAAAAATCTCTTATCCCATATGTTGTGTGAGAAGAAGTCACATCTCCTGATATCAGATTCAATTGAGCAAATTAAATATATAAATAAAGATGAAAAAAATATACAAACTTGAGTTTTTAAGTTTTGATCACTGCATTCATCGCTGATTTAGAGTTTAGACTCTCCTTTTCTCTTGTTTCACTTGAAACTTTTGTGAAGATAATGATGAAAATATATATTAAAAAAATGTTACTGCCAGTTCCTGTTCTGTTTCACTCCCTTGCACCATATTTGTGATAAAATTAATTTTAAAAATTTAAAACATAAAAATTTAAGTTATAGAATTTTAAAATGAGGAGCTTTGAATTTATGATGACATGACAATGTTTCAATAGAAACATTGAAACTTTTGGCCAAAAAAAAAATATAGAAACATTGAAAACACCGAGTTGTAATTTTGACTGAAAGAATTATCATTATATTAGCTTTTATCTATATGGTCACTTTTATCTATGAAATGAATTTTTTTTAAAAAAAATTAAATTTAAGTTTAAAGTCATTTTTTCTAACTATCTTTTGGTAAACAGTTTTATAATTTTCTTGTTTTAGAAATATTTTATAAATCTGCAACTTCGTAAAATAGAAATGCTGATAGCGGTTAAAAACGTTATATTTCTTACCAACCATTGGATGAACTCGCATCTAAAATGAAAAAATGACATTTAAATGCCCTTTTTATTATTTTTTATAAACGTTTAATTTCATAAAATAAAAATGATAAAGGGTCAAAAACATTTATTGCATACCAACGATGCGATCTCAATACTCTCTTAACAAAATCTTTTGAATGAGAAAAATGTGCTAACAATTTTTTTCTTATTTGGTAAAGCTTGAATCAGAATTAAAAGGAAGAAGATTGACATAATGGCCTATTTGGTAAGAAGATTGACATGATGGTCTATTTGGTTTATGTTTTCAAAAACGATTTTGTATTTTTTAAAATAAAAAATTTAAAAAATTGTTTGGATAACTATTTTAAATTTAATTATTTTTTTCAAAAATATTTTCATTTGTTTGTTTTTTAAAAAAATAAAAACATCTTAAAATGTTTTCATTCTATTTTTTTTTATTTTCAAAGCACACTACAAGTATTTATTAAAAATTTCAGTCATCTCAATCGCTGATATTTTGATTTTGAAACTGTCTTTAAATTAACAAAATCAAACAATTTTTTGTCATTTTGTTTTGAAAAATAGTTTTTAAAAGAGAAAAAATTGAGAACATAAACAAGCAAGCCCTTAGATATTCATTTTATTCTTGCTTTTGAAACATTTTATAAATTTGTTATCTCGTAAAACACAAATGATAAAAGGATCAAAAACATTTTATTGCTTGCCAACCATTAATTAGATGAACTCGACACTTTTTAGACAAGATCTTCTGAATGAAAAAAAAAAATGTGTTAAGAAAAGTTCCCTTATTTTTTAAAAGCTTGAATCCAAATTGAAAAGAAAAGTTGACATGTAAATACCTATTTTATTGTTTATAGTATGCCAACCCTTGGATATGACCCTCTATACTCTTCAAACACAATGTTGAGAGTGAAAAATCTGCTAATAAAAGATCCATTGGATTAATTAATTAATAACACTCGAATACTTTAAAAATAATTCCTAAAAAAGATATGAACAATATTTTTTTAATGCAATGTGCACGATGGAATGGTGCATGCATAAAATCAAAAAATTAAGTTTGATTAACTAGTAACAAACCCCTACATCTTGGGATGGCTAATTGTAGATAACAGTGTTAGACTTGTCTTGATTAATATGGTGGGCTTATCATTTCCGTGTGGATGTTTGTTTCTTTGAAGAAATGATCAATTATGTCACACATTATGAGCGATCTAATAATCTCAATGCCTAATTACGGGATGATCATTAGAGTGCTCTTTCTCAATGAGCGATCTGATATCTAATATGATTATATGAGTAATTGATTTAAGAAGCAGTAGACTGTAAAATTAGAAGCATAACTTTGATCTTAAATTAAAATTTTAATTTTTATAATGTTTTATATGGTCAACTTCTCTTTCCCTATGTTGAATGGAATGTGGGTGGCTGTGCCACTGTGTCACCAACCTGTTCCGAGGTGTAAGGAACCAAAAGCAAGCGGCATGGGACAGGGCTGGCATACGGAGAAAGAAAATTAGAAAAGTAAAAGTGAGTCAATATAGTAGTCAATAACCTGGGCAGAAAAATCTAGTAGTCGAACAGGACTTTGCCCACTTAATAATTAATGCCTCAAAATCTATGGTCGCTTTGTCCCCCTGATAACTTGGGCCTTGAAACCACAGGCGTTTTTCTAATTGGAACCTCCAATACAAAAGTAACTTTTGATACTGCTGTTTTATTTTCAAAACACAATCATAAATCAGGATCCAAATGTGATTCTACCTCTGGCGAGAATACAATTTACTTTTCATGCTTCTTAGTCACAACATTCTTGATTGCCTTCCCATCACCTTTATATATTTTCCAATTTTATTTTTTCTTCTTATGCTGAAAATTGAAACATTTATTTTTAAACCAACCCTTACAAACAAATTACTAATTTCATTCAAAAATATAAAGCATTTTTAATCGAATCTTGTTCTTAAGAAAGTAGTTA